TTCAGAATGAGATGAGGACAGGAAAGCGCAAGGTATTGAAACGAGGCAGGAAGAGCAAGAAAGGTGCAAAGGCAAAGGGAAAGGCTAAGAATGCCAAGAACTCCAAGGTTGCCAAAGGTAAGAGGGCAAAAGGGATGGGTTCCAACCTTGATGACTACAACCCTGATGTTGGTACTGATGTTGCAAAGCCAAAGCGCAAACGCGCGGCCACTCCAAAGTCTGAAGGGGCCAGTGTGGCAAAGCCAAAGGCCAAGGCAAAGTCTAGATCGAAGTCAAAAGAAGGTGAGGCACGCGTCAAGCAGGAACGCGTGGGGTCTGGGAAATACTGGAGGTACAGGGTTGTTGAGGGCCAGCAATTTGGATGCAGAAATTGCCGGTTCATCATCAACGGGTGCAAGTCGTGCAAAAAGGAAGGGTTCCGTGGCCGTACAGCACAGCAGGTTTGGGAGGAGGAGGATCGGGTGGGTCAGGATCAGGTGGATGAGGCAGAGGATATGGAGGAGGCAGAGGATATGGAGGAGGCAGTTGCGGCAGACCATGGCAGCCGCCGTGCGAAAAAGGTTCGAAAGGCCAAGAAATCCAAGGCTTAGGTTAGCATCCAGGTGGCTCAGCTAAGCTTATATTTTTGTTTCTGACATTTCTGTTTTAGGCATGACCCTCCATTGGTTCCTGACCCCGATGCTTTTCCAAAAAGTTGTGTTCCAGTCGAACCTCTAAAGAACCCTATTATAAAGTAAAATCTCCAAAGATCCCCTACAATAAAGTTTGTTGGGGACATTTCTCACCACACTGGGGCATGTCCACCTCTCTCATTCCCAGTCCTCTCGTGCTGAGGTATGCTGGCCAAGCTTGAAGATCGAGACCTGTGCCGGTCGACGCCAACAGCTGGTGAAAGCTCAGCAGAGTCACGGATGGCAGGGAAAACCTTGCCATGAATGGGGGTGGGTGGCTTTAGGCCACATGCAGGGCTGGCTATAAATCAAAAAACATTCCTATTTTTGTTGGACTTCTTGTCAAATGTTGCCATTGATTGATCCTGGCTGGCTATCCCTGAATGTGCGCCGAAACCACTTTTATATATAGTAGATACCAATCCTGGGTTTGCACGGGGGACTGTTCATCTTAAGATCTCGAGACCAGCGCTTTGAAAGCTGTGTTCCATCAACGCAGGAAAAACATTTACACATGCGCCCCAATGAGTTGAGGGTTTGATGGGAACATATTGGGAACCATATCATATATAATATATATTATATATTGAATTCACCAGACTAACTATCAAACAAATCAAAATGGCTTTGGGCACTCTGGATCATGCCAGGTATGAGCGCTTCATATCGTCTTCGACACCGGGTCCGGACCCCAAAACGTGGTACGCCCACCCTCATGCTGCTGCATTGGTTTCTGGATACTGGATCACCCAACCTTCTTTTAGTAATTTCGATCGTTCTTTCAATAGCTGGCTCAGTGGATGCCTATCTCAATGCATTTTTTTATTGTGACCATTCAGGCTTCAAACCAGGGATCAAAGTGCTGGGCATCTAGGACCACACCCGGCCAAACCCAGCCAAGCCTCTCGCCATGGCCATGGAGTCAGCATCGTTGATGATGCTCCTGCGGCAATTGGTTTCCTTGGGTGCACCCAAGGCCACAAGCAACCGAAATGAACACAACCTTGTGAACTTGTGGGGGGGGCCATCAAATGTGTTGGACCTGGAAACAGAAAGATATATACCCTATACCATACATGCCCCCTTCCAATAGGTAACGCACACATGCACATTGATTATGTATCATATACAGACAGACCGACAGACAAACACACCTGTGTATAGAAGTACGCTACACTAAGATATGCCAATCATAGTATGCATACAATATACTCTCGGTGCAGGTTCTGACTATGACCGTTCTCTACCTTTCATTCCTGGATGGCTTGGTCTATGATGAGGCACGGTGGATGTGTGATATTGTGTGCCCATGCTCCTCCTTTCAAAATAAATACATCAACTCCCAGCCCTGGTCAGGTATATAGTGCCATAGAGGTCTTCGCTGGGGTTGCCACACTAAGTCGGTGTCTTCAGATTGCTGGATACAACACGGCAAGTCTTGATATCACATACTGGTCTCCTTGGATTGAGCAGCGAAAGTGCAAACGCCTCAGGAAGCTGTGTAAAGGCAACCCGCTGGACTTGCTCTCCCCTGCAGGTTTTGCGTTGTTTGGGGCATTTATAGTACTTTTCTCATTTACAGGTGAACCTATATTTTCTGCTTTTGATTCAAAAACTTGCAATGCTCTCAAGTTTATGCAACAACTAAGACTACTTCTGTCGACTATCATGCGGGCCAAAGATGGCGTTGTGGTGACATTTGGCTTACTATGCTCGACATGGGTATCCATATCTCGGGGATCTACTTTTCGATCATACTTTCTTCCAGAAGGAGATCAAACCGCCCCTTCAGTGGCGATGTCAAACCTTCTAGCAGCCAGGAATGGGTTATGCTAAAATATGTCCCACATGTTGACGTCAACAAGTTACCTGTTACCAAGTCTTGAACTTTACCAGCCCCTTTTCAGAATTCAATTTCCAATTGACGGAAGATGATGAAACTTGAATTGTACCACGTAAGTGAAACATTTGGGGTTCTTGTTCCAACATCCTGTGGCCCCGGCATTCGGCATGCCCCGGCTTTGCAGGACAGTCCTTGCAATGATGCTCGTGATGGTGAAGAAAGGAGTTTGGGTATTAGAACAGCCATCATCATCACTGGTTTTCCGTTTGAAGCGATTCCAGCAGCTTCTGAAGAAAACAACAGCTCTCTAACTGCATGCTAATCAAATTGTTGATCCAGAATTTACGAGTATATATACTGTATTTCTTCCGTGTTTTTTTTGGCCATGGCAAACCAATGGCTGCAATTGAGGTGTTTAAACAGAGTTTTTGGATGAGAGCTTTTGGAAGCCCTACACCAAAGAGAACAACGTTATGGAGTAACTCCTCGGGAATCAGATACTTTTGCACTTCCAAGAAAGCACGAGGCAAGAGCAAGGGGCCTAAACTTGCAGATACCTACATCGACAAAGCTGGAAAGAAACGATATAAAGGAAATGGCAACCTTCGAAAATCACAGTTCCAGCCTCATTGGTTTATGACAGTGATCATTCCAATGGCATTATCAGTTTATGTATGTGAATACTTGGAGTATTGCACAATGATGGCCCCTAGCTAAGGGCATATCCAGTTGGCTTCGGTGTTCGCTTTGCAGAGCATATGAACCACCTTCGAAAAGAGAGATTCCCTCTTCCTGCCCAGCACGTGCCTAGTTGTATAAATTATGGGTTGTTTGAATACTCATGGATGTTGTTCTTGCAGACCATTCCATGTTCCTCCCGGGTGGCTCCTTGAGGACACCGCCATTGAGCCACAGCACGTAGTGCCAGACTGTGCAATGGAGGACCTGTGGCACGATGCTAAAATGGTGGATGTACTTAAGTATTTGCACGGTGGGTCTTCATTGAATATCCCATCAGCCTGGAAACCTTTTTTCCCAAAAAATTGGGATGTTTGAGCAATTCTCCGATTCCCTTTTGGAGATCCAAATCGTTTTTAACCGCGATTCTGCAAAATACCATGAAAATAGTACACAGTGGCAGGAATTGGGGAAAGTGGCGTAATTAAGCATCAAAGTGGCGTAAATTGCCGTAGGAAACCTATGCCTAAAATAGTACACTTTCCAAGACCCCGAAAAAATGAAAATTTATCGTAAAAATTGGATATTGTAGCAATGGAAACGGCAAATCAGTAGCCACTGACAGGTGCACGTAGTTTCCATGGCGTCCCAAATACGCCTGATTTTAGAGTGCTTGCATTGCAACCGGAAAAGATGTGCTTCCATTGGGTGGGAAACAGTTTTGACTCAGCAATTTCAGTGATATGTTCCCCATACATCAACCAGTACATGATGCTCCTGCTCTTTGAGGGTCCACGAAATACTCCCATTATGAGGTGCATACCATGTTTGACTTGCAGTGGTTCAAGATTCTTGTTGATAGGGGCACCATGGAACCACAACGTTCTTGGTCATGCAGCACGCTGATGCGTGGGAGCTCTTTCTTAGCAGAGCAGATGAAAGCCAATGAGAAGAAGCAATCCTATGATGATATCCTTGGTGTTTCCAGGCTTCAATCTGGTTTATAAGGATTGTTACTTGAAGATAGCAGGGGTATAAATGCACACAGTTTACATTGCAATACTTGCAGCCATGCGATTCCCCGGCCCAGGCTGCGAAGGCACGCCTGGATGCACTGAAGCTGCAGGCTGTTTCGAAGCAGGCTGCGCCAGTGACGCCTGCGGCCAAGCCGGGGTTTCAGTCTCCAGCCCCAGCATCTTTGGGAAGACAGGGTTCTGCTGTCTCGCTATCATCTGCTGAACCTTCTAATCAGAAGTCAGCTTCCTTGCAGGAGCGAAGTTTTTGAACCATATGATTGAAGTTTATATATCATTTGATATTTGCCTGATCTTGGTCTTACAAACATACATGCATGTTTTTTTGACCCCGCCTTTTGGTCTTTCATGACGCTGCTGCTGGCCTCAGGAGATGTTCCAAGATGCGCAGAGTCCCGTGGAGGAAACACAATATCCACCAGGGTCTTTTGAGGACACACATGTGGACACTCCAGACCAAGAGGTGGGGGCCCTAAGTTCAAATCCAAAAATCTTTAATGATCTCAAATTTTGGCAGGTGACAGATGATGATGAACCTGCAGAAGCGAAAGCTTCCACGGAGACGACAACCAACACGAAAAAGAAGGCTTGCACATGGTCTCAATTATATAATGCATGCTGAACCTATGTATACATGTAAATTATATTACATTACACTATATATATATATATTATATATATATTATATATATATATTATGTGTGTAAGTTATACATGCTTAGATCTATTTGCACATATATTTCCTTGCAGGAAAAAAACGGAATGGAGAAGAAGATGGATGCACTCAATGCGACGCTGCGTCGTCTGTGTACCCCGAAGCGTGCCAGTGGGAAACTTGAAGTTAGTGCTGAAATTCATAGGCAATGGAAGCAGGGGGGAACACAACGGCAAGCTCTGTTGGATATCTTGGTCAAAGCTGGTGGAAACAAGGACACTATATAATGTGATTGAACCAATGCATGCATCATTTATCATCTTAGCTCTCCATGCACAATATGATTCCATATGTACGTGCCTTGTGTTTGTGCAGGACGCTTTCAAGAAGGAGATCGAGCACATCCAGAAAAAAGCCCGTCGAACCAAGATTCATGTGACCAAAGGGTTCTACTCAAAGGAAAAGATGCGTACCGAGTTGGGCTGGTCAGCGTCCATTTCTTAGAAACTGCAGTTCGTAGAGAGTATAGAACATATTGCAAGAATCAGTTTAACATCTTGCCAACACTTAGGGCTCGTATCAAGGGAGCTGTCGCCTACTGCTGCCACCCTTCCAGAGCAAAGACACATGTCAGGACTGAAACTTCTTTTAGATTTTTAGAATCTATTCCAATAGGGTTTTGAAATCTGGGAATATGGTGACATACATTTATACTGCATATAATGATCAAATGTAATAGTTTCATGATTTCTACATGTTGCAGGAAGGATAAGTACGAGCGCAATCTTCGGGAGTTTTGGGTCGATGCTGCTACAACGGGTTCTGCTGAGGAAGAGAATGAAGAAACCTTCGTTGACCGTACTAGGGGTGAGGGTGATGCTCCAAGCACCATCGACTTGGGCCTGCCACCCACCGATTGCCCAGGCACTGATGACGAAGCTCAGGAGGACTCTGATGAATCGGTCGAAGAAGACCTGCAGGGCGATGCTGATGGCACCAGTTCCAAAGCATCTAAGGTTCGTGTGAAAGTCCCCGGAAAAAACGATGTGGAAAGGGAAGTTGCCCTTGAGGTGAGGTAAGGGTGGGCTCATGGCACTGTTAAGTATACTATGTTGTTCCTGCATGGTGATGTGCTTTATCTATAGCCAATATAGTTGGGTCTTTTCTTGGAATCGCGCTAGGCTGTGGAGAACGTCAGTTCTGTGATGACACAGCTGCTGAAGGTGCAAACCCGCATGACCGGATTGCTTGAGAAGTTGGCTGCCCTTGACACAGAGGATGCCAAGCAGACTCATGATCCTAATTTCAGGGTTTTAAAGGAACGAGTTACGCACACCAATTATGCATTACGTTTTGAGGTGTTCATGTTGTAGTCTTGTCCAATCCTTTCTCACCAATTAAGGAGTGCCACCAAGATCGATGGCTACAGCAAGAGCCTGATGTCACTGCATGATGATCTTGCTGATTTGAAGTCTTACTTCGATTCTTGCAAGACTGAGTTTGAACCAGAGAATCTTTACTGCACTAGCTCAACATTTTTTTAAATTCCATACCCGCTTGAAAGAAACAGCCTGACACTATATATAATATATATTCCCCTGCAACGGCCAAGAAAAGTCAAGAACCTCCATGCCGTCGTCCAGAAGATCGAGAAGGAGCATCGCCCTCAGAATCCAAGTGGCTTGAAACACAAGTTCACACATCCATTTTTTGGTGGAGTTCCCAACTTTCCCTTTGTAGTTTCGCTTTTATGATTTGAAAAGGTCGTCCAGAGCCATGATGGAAGACACCAAGCTTCGCAAGCCCCAGCCCCAACCAAGTGCAGCCTCTGAAAGGATTCATTTATAATATATATATGATCGATATGCTATAGCCAGACTTTGGTGCTAAGGACGCTTTTGAAGCCCGTGAAAAGTGCAGAGCCCAAAGCCTTGCCCAAGAGCTCAGCACAACCGAAAGTAAAGGCTAAGGCCACAAAAGGTAAGTCAAAGGCATCTGCCAAGAAAGAAGATGATCATGAAGTACCGGAGCCAGTCCCAAAGCGACGAAAGAAAAACCGACAGTCTTGAGGCAACTATAGCCATGCAATTGCTATAGGTTATCATCAGAATACATGTACATACCATAAACAATTAACATCGGCCTGCGCACTGGCAGGCGCAGTGACACCGAGAATCATTGGGTGGTCTGAGGATGTCCAGGGCTCAGACATAGTGTCGCTCGAAGAATATCACTTCGCCAGCAAATCCTGCTGGCCGCCCGGTCTCAGGCCATTGACTTTTGCGCGGAGCCACTGAGTTACAGTCTGCTTTGCCTAGCTGCAGCTTTCTGGTTATGTGTATATATATCTATTTATTTCGATGGACTGCATAAACCATTTTGGAAATGAAAATTTACAGATTATATATTACCTGTAAACCTTCAAGCCAGGATGCAGCTGCTTTGTTAGGCCGTATTTTGGCCGTGGTTTTCACCATGCCATTTGCAATTCCAAGCCAGCCACAGAGCCGGTGATGAAACCAACTTGATTTGGGGAGAAATTGTGGGAAAACTGCCATTGGTGTACATGCGTTTCGACCTTTAGTTTTGGATCCCATTCCCATTAAATTTCCCACGCAGGTTCAACTCCTCCTTGCCACGGATCTGCGGCAAAACGGCCGAAGACTGGTCCTGCAGCACAGGCCATTGCAGGTGCCCTTTCTAGAGGGGAGACTTGTCAAGAAACATCATCAACTTTTCTTGGCTATATCCCTCAAATTTAAGGCTTTAACTTATTATATATATATAGGGTCCCATTTCTGTTTCATAATGGTTTCACTCAAGGTACCGGAGAAAGAAGTATGTTCTATTGCAAAGGCTGTTTGGGAAGAATTTCAACCATGCTTGGCAAAAGAGCCTCCCAGTACAAGTTTCTTACGCATGGCTACGAGGTTAGCATCCACTGGGCATGAAAACCGCTTGACTGACAACCTACCTGAACATGGTCTATCTGCAGATATACCTGTGAGCTATGTTGATTGCGGCCTCAGTTCAGGGCATCCCATATTAGCAATCCAGGACTTCATTCAAACTCTCGATGCAAATGGCAAAATCGACTTGCTGTTGATGGGGAACAGATCACCAATCTTCACAGATTTTTGGGCTAACTGGCAACAATTACAGCCGAACCACGAGGTATTTTCCTACCATCAAAATCGACTTGGGTCATGCATACCCATTTCAGTGCACTTTGATGAAGGGACCACCTTGAAGAAGAAAGCAATCATGATTATACAAACACAAGCTGTTATTGGCAAAGGGACCCGGAAGCGTAGAAGCACTTCACTAATTCCAGGCTGCAATTTTGTTGGGAACACTATCACATCGAGATACCTGTGGAGTGTTATGTTGGCAAGGCTCTACTCCAAGAAAACCAAGGGAAATGCAAAGAAGAACGCACCACTGATAGATCTTATTGCACATTTGGCCAAACAGCTGAGAGATGCATTCTACAATGGAATGGAAGTCACCATTGATGGAAAATTGGAAACAATCTTTCTGGTCCCTCTTGGTTGCAAAGGGGATTGGCCAGCTCTTGCAAAGGTTGGTACATTACAACGCCACTTCGGACGGCAGAGCGCTAAGGATGGTGCGGCAGGGATTTGCCATTTGTGTCGAGCTGATCAAGACGGATTCAAAAACTGGCATGACGTGAGCTTCAGTAACATTGAATCCATGCATCGTGATGTTCCTTTGCCATGGACTAGAGACCCAGCCCTTCTGTCAGCAGTTCCTCTACCGGACGCTTACAAGGCATCCTTTTTCAAGTCGGATTTGTTCCATACCCTTCACAAAGGCGTGTTTGCAGACATAGCCGCAAATACCATCGTTTTCTAGCTGCATTCATGCGTTTTTTCTTGGTCTTATTTTTTGTTTGCCTAGGTTACCATGCTTTAGTTGTGCATTGTGTTGCAATCGAATGTTGAGGTCTGTGGTATTGACCATGGTCTTTTCTGTGATGCAGATGGTTTTGAAGCGCAAATTGAAGCATTCTTTGCAGAGCTGAAAACGTTTTGTTCTGCCAATGGCCTTCAACTACATATGACTGCATTGACACGCACACTGTTGGGATTTCCAAAGTCCAGCGAATATCCAGTTGCGATGCTTTGCTGTTGTTCGGAATGTTTTTATAACTCATTTTGGTGTCGTTTCCTGACTGTTTGACAATTTAATTGTTGTCAATTGCCTCCCCAGGAATTGGTTCAAGGGCAATGACACAACATCTTTGCTGATTTTCCTGGAGCACAGGCTACGCTCTGAGATGCCAAACTTAGATCCTGATCAAGCGCGCTATTTTGGTCACATGCTTGCTGCCTGTGAGGCCGCAAACAAGTTTATGTCCTGTGTTTTTCATGCAGCCTTATGGCTAAGTCCTGTGGAACGGGATACCCTTTTAGTCCAAGGACATACCAGTGCGACATGCTTTCAGGAACTTGCAAATGAAGCGTACATGATGGAAATCACGCGCTGGAAGTTGATGCCTAAACTGCATGTATTAGGCGAGCTTTTGTTCCGCCTAGAGTATGAGAAAAAACATCATTTGCCATCGATTAGTCCTTTGGCATGGAGCTGCCAACAAGACGAAGATTTTGTTGGGCGAATCGCTTTTCAGTCACGGGTTGTTAGTATCCGAAGCGTTCATTATCGAACTCTCACCCGCTATCAAGTAGCTCTAGCTTCCAGGTGGTGACTGACAGTTAAAATATGTTAAAATCAGTTAAATAACTATCACACTACCCTTTCTCAACGTTATTTGGGGTTATAATGGGTTAACCTTGTCTTGTTACCATTCCCGGAATCCCCAGTCACACCAATCTGGTCCTGAAGTGTCAGCTCGAATGACCAGCTCGAGCATGGCGTGAGACGCAGCTGAAAAGGTGGATGTCGAAGGGGTCCAACTAAGTACAGTGGTATACCTGGGATATTTTGGGGGTAAATTATGATCATCTTAACATATGATAAACATATATTTAAACACTATATCATCCTGTATGAAAGCTATAGGTTCCATCAATGGGAATATGCATGTGGAATGCTATTTAATGCCTGGGGTTTCTCACAACTGACCTGGTGCCAAAACATGTGAATCAAGCAGTGGCAACTTTTCCGAAGAAAATAGCACACAGTGACGCAGTGTACTATTTTAATAGCATACCTGGTTATCCAGGTATGTGAATATATACGTATTACCATATATGTAGCTAACTAAATTTGATTCACAAAAACTCCAATAACTAGATATATCTATAGTCTATACTAGTATCGTTTCTAAACCAACAAACATAGCTGGGGGGCAGCACCTTGTAGGGTAATTTGTTACATAACATAGCTATGGTATAGATGGACCATTTAGTTCGATGAATTGCCTATGAACACGGTGATTTCCATAACTATGTTAATTTGCCGGAGGGTATGTTCAACATGTCTTAATCCTAGTTATCCTATTTGGGATGTTCCCAACTGATTAATTACTTTCAATATAAAACATCATTAACCATTCTTGAGGGGTTGAGACAGTTAATGATAGTTTGCATATACATGGCTTAGTAAGCCTGTCCTGGATACCCAAGAAGGATCCAACACCATGTGATATTATATGTATACACGCCATGTGATTGTCACCCAAACATTGGGGATACCAGAATTGTGACTCATCCCCATTACATTGCTTTGTTTTTAAAGATACGGCACCCGAAAATCCAATGGCCAATCGCTTGGTTTTACCATCATTTTCCCCGTCATTCCTCCAAGGAGTTCACTTGATGGTAAATTTCTCCATTCCCCGAATTGTCAAATCCCCCAAAGGATCAGGCCCCAATGCTGGTGTGAAAACAGGCCGCTGGCGCCATCCATTCGGATTTCACCAAGAATTTCGAGCAGGCAGAGATCTGGTGAAACCTGGCGAGTTTGCAGATTTGCTCACCAGTTTCAAGGCTGTTTTAAGTGAAAATGATTGGGTACCCCCAATCGAACAGAGCTGAAATTTTAATGGTCATGTTTGAGAGGTAAATCATCTAGGAATCCGTAATTTTCCATGGTTATGCTGTTGAATTCCCAGAGGTTTCCCCCAAAATGGGACGGTTAAATCATGTAAAAACTATCCATTTTGGGTACTAAACATGACCAGACATTGTGGTTCCTTAGGCCTAAAGTACGGCCAGGTCTTATGATGACCTACTCCGACATGGAAGCAAAGCTGCGTCGAGCCCTCATCTTGTGGCAGTGGGGCTATGAAGTTCATCAAGTTCACAGCTCTTGTGCCACCGGAGATATTTGGAAAATTTTGCAAATGTCATTTTTGTATGGCAGGAAGACATATTGGTGATATCTGCTGATATCTGGTGGCTGCATATTGTTTTCATGATCCATTCCGTCCATTCTGGGGATTGAGTCACTGAGGTGTCGAAAAGCTGGAGCGGTGAAGATGAAAGGAAAGGATTATGAGGTGCCGGGTCTCAAGAGATGGCACTTGTCTCATGTCGTGGATCCTTTTGATTGAATAATTAATGGTATAAGATGGGATAATTAGTATGTAAATATACTTAATTAATCTTAATTAGCTGTTAACACCAAGAAAAGGTGAGGTTTGTGGAGAAAAACCAAGGAAGCCTGTTCAGGGCTGGACATGCCCCCCAAGCCTAGCTCTGATTGTGTTTCACCCCATAAACTGCAGCAACTTAGGTTCTGATGGCAACCCCTCTGGGATGAATTTTGCTTATCTTTTTTATTTGTTGTTTTCACACCCTTATAGTTTCTTTGTAAAAAAAACCTGGCAATATCCTGGCGCCTTACCCTTTCATCACTTACCATTGTAAAAAAACATCGTTTGGGATGATTGTCCTTTATTGTCAAGTGGATATGGATCAATACCTATTAAATCCTATTAATACCATTTTTAAGGGGATGAACATCATTGAATATCCATTTACCAGCTATTTTGATGTTCACCAGGGGTACAAGGGTTTGACACACTGCCTCAAGTGATTTTTGGGATCGGTTGATCCGATCAGTGCAGGTCCAGGATGGAGATGTGATCGAATTCCGGATCCGCAATGCGCGGTCGTAGAAAGAGCGGTCGTAAAAGGAAGGGCTGCAGTTGGCCTAGAGCTGGGTGGAGGATATGAGGATACGATATATGGAGTTTGCGGATGTTTGCGGGAAGTTACTAAGTTGACTTGAGGATTTATCCGAAAACAGCGGAAAAATGGAGGATTCTTGGACCCTCCAAAGAATTCAAGTCACTTGAAACTTATTCAAAAATTGTTTGATGCCTGGAATTGAGTGGAAAACTGTTGCTTGAATATATTTTGTATATTTGTTCTTTTGTCCTTCACCTTTCTAGCAACCTTGCTGATGATTTTTAGTGGAGAAGGTGGCCAATGCACGTGAAGAAAGATACCTTGTCACCAGATATCCAGGCCAAAGAACAGGCTGATGGGTTAACAAATAACAAATAACATGGTGAGACCTTGAGTCAGTATATGGTCCGATCATGTTCCATCTTAATCCTAAAAGCTTCACTTGCATGGCTTGACACAGCTTTTATTGAGGTTGAGCTTCGAATGGATGCCGGACCAGTGCCTCATTTGCATGGGTCCACTGGGTGGGTAAGGAATCTTTGGCACAACCGATGCGAGATGATAGTTCAGATGGAGTGGACACCACTGAAATATATTAGATGATACTATATGTGTATTGTATGTAATGCACATATGATTCATATGAATATTATTAGTAATTACGTGTATAATCGTGTATATATATAATTACATATATATATATATGCACACTATATGCGTATATATAAATGTTTACATACACACTATATACATATATATATATAATATATATATATTTCATGCACATATACATTTTACAGTTATACATGGTGTGGACACACAATATATAATATATATAATGCACATATACATTATACATCATTATACAGTTATACATGGTGTCGCTAAGTGTCCTCGCATTGTTTGAGCAGAGGGAAGGACTTCCTTTACCTTCGCCCCAGGAGAGATGGGAAAATTGGTTGGTTGAAGGCTATCAAATAACTTGAATTCTTTCGGTGCTCAGATACCAATATCTTTGAGTCATAAGGCATACCTCACTGATGTTGGATATTGACCCTGAAAAGACGCAAGCTGTAATATTACCAGTGAATTAGCAGTCATACCTAACTGATTAAGCCCAATATATCTCACTGATACCTGGTCATTCTTTACCAGTGCAGTCTGAAGAAAAAATACCTGCCGGCCCACTCAGGTGTCTTCTGCGGCTGAGGATATTGAGGTGCCAAACGGTACCCGAAGTCATAGGTATAGCTGGATGGTTTTGACCCATCCCCATATAGGGTTTCCGTCAATGGGGGTACCCCAAAATAGATGGTTGATTTATGTTGATTTCATGAAACATCGGATGGAAAATTGATGATTTTGGGGCTACCATCATTTTAGGAAACCCCCATATCAAGGTTCATAAGACAGGAGTAGAGGGCTTTGGACAACATTGTTCCCATGTGCATATCGTAGGTATCCAAGCATCGCCGCCACAGGCGGGAGTTGGCAAGTCGACCACTGGCAAGGCCGGTTCGGGGGATTAGACCAACAGAAATTGAGATTAGAATGTGAGTTTAACCAACAAATTACGAAACACAAGCATCCTTTCTCCAGCAAAACATCACACCAGAAACCAATGAAACCAACCTTTTCACGCTTCCTGGCGATTTGATACTTCTGTTGGAAGTGCTTCTATGAAGATATTCAGTTGGCCCAGTTCAATGCAACTTGTGGCCGACGGACATAAAACGCATTTAAAATATCCTTCCTTTGCAGCTCCAAGTTCCGCGTGTGGTATGAAGGGGTTGAAGTTCTTTCTTGTCGCTAGTACCACAAAACAAATATTATTTTGAATGTTTTAGACAAATAGCCTCCAAAAAGCAGTTACACCTGCTGGGGTTGTGCCGCTGTATGTTGAACCAGCCATAGATGTCAGTTTTGTTTGGCATTGCAGCCTGCTCCATTAGAAGAAAAACATGAAATCAGTGTCTCCGCAACAGGAGCCGGAGCTATGCCACTACTTTGTGATTTTATAGAACATGAATTAGAGCTATTTCATATGAACATTAGAGTCTCTTACCGAATACCAGTTGTACTTGTACACGCTGAAATTGGGTTTACACAAGATGAGCAACATAACTACATGTCAGCACTATTTTAAAAGTCCCAGTAGGAATTGAGTGGTTTCTACGTGAGAAATCCTGTTGGTATTGTAGTAATGCGTAGTATAGACTGTCAGAAGGAGCGCAGATTCCAATTCAATCAGGGGATTTGCATCCCTTTTCTAAGCAGCAACACCTCAATAGCAACACATGCCTTTGCTGGTGGAATTGAAGAATGGCAAGTTTAGAGCAGTAAAATAAGTTGAAAATTCAGGGTACGCTATGGTGTATGGGCCTATACATTATGAGAAGTAGTGTGTTTCGGAGTCTTTGTCGATGGCATTCAGTACTTAGAGTACCCGTAGAATCCAATGGTTTCGGAGAATGCTGCGATGGTATGTGCCCCCATTGGAATAGCCGACTAATCGACTAATCATCCTGTATCAATATTGTAGGCTATAATCAATATGCTTTTATTCCCTATACACATGATATCTACGCAGAAGTGACATTTATTTTTTCCCAAATATCATCCTCGCTGGTAAAATCGCGGTATATCCCCATTGGAAGCCCAGTTTTGACCGTAGGCTCCAACTGGTCGGAATCTCATGCGATCCTTGCCGTTGGCAGCGCCTGCCTGGTCGGGGTACCCGTTTCAATCCACATTTTGTGTGTGAGTGTGTGTGTTTTAGGTCTCAACATGTATTAATCATATTATATAGACATGCTGAAGCATCCATTTTGAGGGTTGATAAACCATCCTAGATAGCTATCGTATCTAATTATTGTATCTGTCAGATGTACTTATATAATATATACAGTTTTACTCGTTTTACATTGTTTTACATCGTGCTATATATGATATGTAAATGTTGTATAACAAAAAGCACGCCGGCTTGGCTGGATGAAGTCCGCATGAAGTCCGCAATTTCCTGGTGAAATTCCCATATGTTTTTCCCTTGTCTCGTTGAACCACCATAACATGGCTGTTGAAAATTGGATATCGATGATGAACATATGGGAAGTAATTATAGGATATTATAGGGCAAAAAGGAAAACATGCTGAAAAATGTGGGAAGCGTAAAAGTTGGAGATACATCTGCAAAAGATTGGACACAATTTAAAACACATGGTAAACATGGGAAAAAGTGGGAAGAATCAGGGCATGAATGTGGCAATGAACAAGGAAATCATCATTTGCAATAAGGACAGTCGTTGGAAAAACCATCGGCTAGGCGGCTAGGTATGTGCCTAAAAGTGGAACAACATATGAACAAATTGGGACATCATTCAGTCAGATGGACAATAACTATTGAGAAATGAACGCTGTAAAACTATGGTGAGTAAATGGGGAAAAGTGGAAGACCTGGGAGAATCTAGGAAATATGCATGGAAACCGAGGGAAGCGAAACGGAAAACAATGGGAAGACGGGTTGAAATCCTGTGTCAATGGAACCGCCTGTGCCCAGGCTGAGAAGTGCGGACGAGCCAATGAAATTGGTGCTTCGCACATTGGCCACAGCCATGGCCTCAAAGGGATGCTGGCCCTTCCGATGATCTTTTTCAAGTTGAGGTTGGGATTTCACATATCACATCATATCACTATTGAAAAGTCACTACTATCACAGTGAAATCGCCATAGTGAGTGATATTTGGGATTGAACACAGTGGTTCAGACTTTGTACCGAAATTGCATAATTTCAGGAGATCCACCATTTTGAGACAAAGCCATGAACAGAACATGTTGAGGTTGATACCAAAAAACAGACCATGACTCCTGAACATCGCATCATACTCCAAACTGCATACTGTACCATACTGTACCATACTGTACCATACTGTACCCTGAAAGCAGGAGAACAATCTACATTTGCTGGAGCAAAAGAAGTCTAACACTTTTGCAAGTTGAGATGATGTTGAAAAAGTGCACGCCGTTGTGGCGCGAAGCTACACTGCACTGCACTGCACTACACTATACACCACACTACACTATACACCACACTACACTATACACCACACTACACTACACCAAACTACACCTACGACTACGACTACAACTACGACTACGATTACAGCGGCAACTGCAACTGCAACTACTACAGCAACTATAACTATAACTACAACTACACTACACCAGACTACACTGCACTACAACTATAACTGCAACTGCACCTACACCTGCAACTGCACTACACTACACCAGATTAGAACTACGCTGCAACTACAGCTTCAATTTCAAGTACAACTACAACTGCAACTACAACTGCAACTGCACTACCCGACACCACATTACATCACGCTACACTACACTGGAACTACAACTAGAACTGCAACTACAACTACAACTACAACAACAGCTATGCTACAACTACCTGGTCCACCTGGATAAGGACTATTGTTGTCCAAAGTCTTGATTGTATACCATTTGCCATTAGGACAAGAATAGTTGTCCTGGACGACTTTGTAATACATGGCCTGATGGGTCATATACTACTGTATCACATCAATTTATATACAAGAATTGCTATATTATATAGATGATCCCTTTTGTGTATGCATGTGTGATTTGCCTTGCTGGAAAGGGAAAACCTTGTGCAATTTACACCAGGCCAGAAGCAAAGGAAGGAAGGGAACAAATACATGAAAAAGAGGCTTATTTGGGCTCTATTTTGGAGCTGATTTTGGGATAAATCCCATGGACGTAAAAGACCGGACTTGGACGTAAAACAGCGTCCGGGAAACCACTTACAGTACACGTAAATGACCGTTCATGACCGTGAACTTCCGATCACTGCCACAAATAGTTTATCATGGTTGTTTGGGCAGAGCAGCAGGTACAACTACAGCTACAAGTACAATTACAACTACGACTAGACTAGACTATACTACACTAGACTATGCACCACAATTACAACTACAGCTACAACTACAACTACACTACACTAGAGATAGATAGATAGATAGATAAATAGATAGATAGATAGATAGATCGATAGATAGATAGATAGACAGAGAGAGAGAGAGAGAGACTCAGAGCCTCAGCCACCTTTCGATCCATCAGTGGGTTCGCTCTGCCATCCATGCGTCACAACAACTCAACTATAGGTTTCCTATCTTTGTGCGGTACTACTGGTATCAAAGGTGATTGAAATCATATGGAGGTTTCTTGAAGTGGGGGTACCCCCAAATCATCATTTTTTGTGGGATTTTTTCCATGATACACCATCCAGCTGTTGGGGTACCCCTATTTTATCAAGCCCCCACTTCATATTATCAACGGGGGGGATCAACCGCAGCTCTCAGGTTCCGGCTGCCCGCATGACCTTCTTCACCTACGTAGTCTTGCTTCACGCCTGGGCCCGGAGACTCGGAGATTCGTGCGGCTTGAAAAGGTGGCTGTAGCCCTGTAACAGGTGGTGACTTCACGGTGACTCAATGGTGATTCAATGTTTGCTTTGTGGTTACTTAATGATGATTTAATGATGATTTAATGATGATTTAATGATGACCCAATGGCAGTTGAATGGTGGCTTAATATGGCAACCAACCAATCTATTGGAATATATTGGGATATTACTTAACCAAAAATGTGAACATGGAGTATGTATCCATTCTATTGGAATATATTGGGATATAACTTAACCAAACATGTGAAAATGGAGTATGTGTCCTCAATGGCCCAAAACATTGCAAATCTTAATGGAGATAAGAACAGGTAACCAGTCGACTTAAGGATATATATATATAACCCTTGGTCAAGCAGTGTTGTTGATGGCTAAATCTGCCCCATGACCTGGAAATCAAGGTGATGAATCTTGGCAAAGTACAAGAACGTCACAAAAAAAACAAAGCTTATACGTGATGAGTCAGGATTGCTGGGGAGTCATGTCTGTCTTTGGAAAAACTCTCTCTTTGGAAATAATTACTCTGTTACTAGCACTTGGATTAACTTGCATTGATTTGCCCAGAATTGTTATGTAAGACATGGGTTACAAGTCAAGTATCCCTACCCCTCAACCTGAAATTGGCGATGAAACTATGAAACATGATGGCACTGGTAATCAAGGGGGAGTCCACAACTTGAAGGAGCACCCCTCTTTCCAATTATTCATGGTGCACCAAGTATCGCATGGCTCAGCTTTGCATGTCTGCCAAGGTGCACGGGTGTGTTTGTCGAATTTGAGATATGGAAGATGGGGCTCTACATTTCATCGACATGAAAATGGACTGGTTGGTGGTTTGGAACATTTTTGACTTTTCCCTATATTGGGAAGAATAATCCCAACTTACTAATATTTTTCAGAGGGGTTGAAACCACCTGCCCAAATATCGTGAATAAATCAAAATAAATCAAAAAAACACAAAAAATCTTGACCAAGGTCCTTTTTATCTTGCAGCAAATGGCGTTGCATCCATCATCCTCATGAGATTCAAAAAAAAATATTGAATTAAAATCATATAAAAATAAATTGATCATTTCATATACAACAGGATGGCAGCGAGTCTGCGAATTGACATCAATATGAGACCAGGAGGAGGACGAAATTAACCCTATGGCTCCACAATTGCGCAGGCTCGCACGAAATGTGCGGCGCCTGTCTCGGGTGCGGTATCCTTCTTTGATATCCGCATAAGATATGTTGTGACGTGTCCATATGTAGTTCGATTGCGCAGGCTCGCGTAAAACTTGTGGCGCGGTCTTGGTCTGCGACCTTTTACCTATAAATTTCCGCAAGATATCCATTGCCATGTGCATTTCGGTTGTGCAAATTCGCACAAAACGTGCGGTGCGGTCTCGGGATTTATTTGGGGCGCGACATATTCCTTATAAATTTGCCGAATAAATCTATTTTTGAAATAATATCCCAATGACCTTGTTGCTTGTTTTGGAGGGGGGACCTACGAAAAAAAATATTTCAGTAATTTATGTATATATATATATATTTTAAATATATTTATATTATATTATATTATATTATAATATATTATATTCTAACATATATTTAGAAAATATAATAATATTTTCTGGGATAATCATCCGATTTGATGGGGCTTAATGGGGCTTATTTGATGTTGTGCGCCTGTCCGGCGCCCGCTGCAGGTTCCAGGGGATAGTGAGCCTTGAAACATTTGGACATGCATTGACCCGGACACCACAAAACATCACAAAACTCCTACTTGGACATCATTGGACATCAAGAGGACCAACTTGGAATATGTTTCATTTTAATCTACTTTACATATGGCAAGTTGAGCCCTAAGATAGATCAATCAATATATGTATATATATATCAATATCGCTGAATCAAAAGGAACCAATGACATGCAAAAGCCTGGAGAGCAGCCATGAGCAGCCATGGGCTGGCTGGTGACGAAGAAGTGTAGCTGGAGCAGCACTCGCGTGGACTGCGGTTTGTGCTGCATTCAGCGCAAAGAGAGCAAGATCAGAGATTCTTTTCATGTCTTCATGTCTTCATGTCATTCTAATTCATTCTATGCTTGGAAGATTTTCCCAGAGATGTCCAAAATGGGCAGCCTCAGATGATCATGATGCATGGTTGCTGTCAGTCAGAGCACTGCCTCACAACCAGAATCCCGACACTATCAAAGCACCTGCCACTGAGACTACTGGCTTCATCCCACGCATAAGAAGACCTCAGATTCGTGGGCATCTGCGAACAAGGTGGCGAAGAACTTGGGCCTGCCATCGCCGCCTTCTCGCGCTGATGTTGCATCTTGGATCACATGGTTTTCCACTTGAGTAGACGTGAGCAGGTAGGTCCAAACGTAAGCATTTTTTAGTTCATTGAAAATATAACAGGATGGGATCATAGGGCTACGTTAGAAGTACATGTACGGTAGAGGTACGGTAGAGGCACGGTAGAGTACCGTACCTCTACCGTACCTCTACCGTACCTTTACCGTACCTCTACCAGCACCTGCATCGTAGCTCTACAGTATACCCCTACAATATGCAGCATTATCAAGCATTATGAAGCAATGCTATGGGCCAAAGGGCTTGAAGTGTGGCGTTTGCAGTTTAGAAGTTGTGGCAGATATGGCAGGTACCCAAATCTATCCATAAATCAATCTAAAATATTATCAATCTACCCATATCCAAATACTTGCTGGAGTCATATCGAATGACTGCTTCCGAAAAGAGTCTCCTGGCTTTACGGCTTCACCCCCAACTGCGGCGCAGGATGGAAGTGGAGTTTTGGAACCTCCAGAGTCCTTTGCTGAGGGACTCTTCATGCTGCAGTGACAAGATGTGAAGTAGTAGTAGTAATAGTCGAAGTAGCAGTACTAGTAGTAGCAATAGTAGCAGTAGCACATAATAGTAGTAGTAGTAATAGTCGAAGTAGCAGTACTAGTAGTAGCAATAGTAGCAGTAGCACATAATAGTAGTAGTAGTAGTAATAGTAGTAGTAGTAGTACTCATGCAGGTACTAACTACTACTGCTGCTACTACTACTGCTACTACTACAGCTCGTACTGCTTTTTTGCGTTCTGCTACGAGTAGTACCTCTTTAAATTCGGTCACAGGAAGAAATATGTTTATTTCTGTACCGTTTTGTTTTTGCATATACCTGCGTGCAATCCCACCAACCTGCAGTTTTGCGCATTTGACAGGTGGCTAGTGGTGCAATGGCGGACCCCGCTATGATCTTATCGGACGTTGCCTGGTTGCAGATTGTGGATGGTGACATCACCCATGGAAGACACATGTGAACGCAGTGAAACACTAGGCAAGATGACCAGGTTTTCGACTTACATTCTTATGTGTAATATTCGCATTTCTTCCCAGCCCTCAACATAATTCAACATATGTGTACTTGTATTTTGTAAGTACTGAGGCTTTAATGCTGCAAGACATGGCCCTCATGGCACCAGTGGACTCCCAGGCAAGGCTCCGTTCGCCAGTGCTCAACGAAAGGTAGAGTTGGGTGAAGGGAGGTGAGATACAGCAGCCATTTTTTCAGCGGGTTGGCAAGGCTGCTTCCGTATGTAAGCCTTTAGTAAATTGACAACAGAGTCCACGGCCGTACATGGCCGTACGACAGCTGAAGTACCATACAGAAGAAAGGTTTGGAACGCTCCCAGCAAGAAATAGGCAACACCATATTCCACTACCGGAATGGAAGCCCCAAAACTGAAACCCAGACAGTCACCATGACACAAGAACCACAAGGAGCACAAAACATCACAAAACTAGCATCATGGCCCCACCATGAT